AGGAAAACGCGACGAGAGAGAGGAATCATATTCAGTCGCAACGTTGACCTCTCCCGCGCCCTTCATTAGGTTTCGAATTGTCACCAGGTGACTATGAGAGACCAATGGAGAGGCGACGACGGTTAAGAAATCTATAAAACCGTGCGACTAAAGGGACAAAGGTTCTTGGTTCGTAGTTCTTGGTTCTTGGTGTTCCTCTCCAGGATTTTTGTGATCCTACTTATCAACCGCGACCAATTCGTCAACTCCTGTGCCTTATTGTCGCTCTCCCGTGACGTCTTAATTTGCACGGATTTGCCGTTCACCAGAGACTTTCGCCGAAGCTGTGCCGCACGCCCCGGGGCTGTCGATCTCAACGTACGACATCGAAGGACCAAACGGAGAAAGTCGGACCGACCCTTGAAGGAACTTTTAATTTGTTCCCCGAGCTGTGTTACGTTGAAAATTTGAAGAACGTTGTAAGAATCTTTTGTAATATAATAAACGGGTTAAAAATGGTAAACCTGTCTCAGAAAGTCATTCTGCGCCCACACGACAGAAAGAACCGCTCGGCTGTCGAAAAACCCTCACCCTAATCGGCTGACCTCACATTACTATATTTTGATAAAGATATTCTAATTATGATTCTGATTTTGATAAAGTTAAAAGTCATACCATTAAAGGCTGTACTTTTTTTTTTTATCACTCTATAAAGCATCTACTATACCTATAATGTTATTCTAAAATTAATTCTTCTTATTATTTATTTTATTTATTTAAAATAAAATAAATAAATATTTTATAGCCATTTTATTATATTTTATATGTAATAAAATGGCTATTAAATTATCTTATATACTCAAAAATTCAATTACTTACCCTACGTAGATTATCTGGTAGGGAGGTGCTGCATTCTCCCTCAAACCGAAATTGGCTCTGCAATTAAAAGATCTTATACAATACTGTATATAGTCATCACTAAATTTCTTTTTTATTACAAATTTACACTTTTTAATGATTAAAATGAAATTATTTTATTTCAACATAAAAAGTTTTCATATAATATATTACTGTAGACTCTTGTACAACACGGGGGATTCATTCCACGTTGTAGGAAATTGCATTATAGGGGACATACATTATTGGACCAATTTATGCAAGTTCTAAATTTTAACTGTTATCGCAAAGGGTCAAAGATTTCCCAAAATTATAGAGGAAGGCAATTGTACAGAACAAGTCTATAATGTTGACAAATTTGCTTTGTATTGGAAAAATGCCCGACAGAACATATATTGCGATAGATGAGACTTCCGCTTCTGGTTTCAAGGCATCAAAAGACAAAATAACTTTACTTTTCTGTTTTAATGCAACTGGAGAACATATAACTAAGCCATCTTTAATTAATAGTACATTAAATCCACTGTAATGAAAAACATAGACAAATCAATGTTTCCTGATCATTGGAGAGCTAATAAAAAAGCATGGATTACATGCAAAATGTTTAAAAATTGGTTTTATAACTGTTTTGTACTGGAGATCGAAGATTATTTACAACAAAAAAATTCTTTAAACTGCTGGCTTCATTATTCATATATAAACACCTGGTAAGTGTATATTTTCACTTTTTTAAACAAAAAATCTGAAACTATGTGAAAATGTAAAATTTATCTTACACATTATACAGGACTGTTTATCGCACTATATGAGTTCTAGTCACATAATTTTCATCGTGTTATATGAATTCACATTATAAGGGAGTCTACTGTATTTAAGAATGATTATGTGAATAAAGTCTTATAAATGATACTCTACAAATAAAATAGTCCAGTAGAGATTTTAAATAAAACTTCTCTCAAAAATTTATAGCACAATTTTTATGTAGTAATAAATAACAAAAAATCATAATAAAGAAAATTTCTGAAAAGAACTTCTGTATCTTCAAACTTTTTTGCTTCAAACTTATTGAAGCAGAAAATACATTGCACACAACTCAAGTACTTTAAGATTTCTAGAAATCTTTTATCATCATCAATGAAAGAAAAAATACAACTTATAAAACTAAAATATTATTCAATAGAATAATCCAACTGTTCAACAACTCTTGGAATTTCAAATGTTTATTCTTGTTCTTAAAAATTGCACATACTTTTTGTTTTTCTTGTAATCTCTGACAAAGATCCTAAAGTTCAACAGCACTTAAGATTTTTATAATAAATGTATCTTCTGATCCAAGCAAACAGACAATATAAATAAAATTATGCCATTTTTTTATAGAAATGGTTTTCTCATTTTATTTAATGTGAAGACTTCTGATATCTCTCTTGAAAAGCAATATGAAAGCAATATTAAAACAAGCATAATGATTATATATAAATATAGAAATGCTATCAAATTTGATAATAATGTTTAAGTTACCTTATAACCTGGACCAAGCCTATGGATGGCACAAATTTGATGCGTGCTCAATGCTTCCCCAAATAAATACATAGCAGACATTTGACCACAAAAAACATGTTCTTCATCCAACTCAGGAGCTGCACCAATATAACATTTATCAAATGGCTATAAATACAAATTACAGATTAAACAATATGTTAATATCACAATGTATAATGATATCAAAATATAAAATTTCAAAATTATTTTTTTAAAATGATTTTACAAGGCAGATTCAATGAATAAGTTAAACTATCTCTTGTATCAAAATTTCTAAAATTCCAAAGTATTAATATATATTACAATATTTACATGTTGCATTTTTCTCCAAAGGCCACAGGATGGCTGCTTGTCCGTCATAGCAAGCAAAAGATACAAAATAGTTTGCCTTAGAACAACATGATGAAATGTTGAGTTGTATATCATCATAAGATTCTTGAGGTTAAAGATTACACCATCCAAAATTCATTGATAACTTATAAATGTTTACTGATCCAATGTCTTGTTACAACAGCTGCATTACACAAATGTAATGCAGCTTTAAACAAATGGAAATGAACAGCAGTAAACCAGGCACCCAAAATTTCCTTTATGGATGAAACATTTGCCAGATTGAAAACTTAGTGAAGGAAAACAGATGTATTAAATTTAGTGCCATTACTGAGGTGTTCACAATCTTAGTGAACTTCATTATACATCATCATCCATGGAAAACTTATGTACCATAAAGTTTATATCCTTTAGATATTAAAACAATATGCCAAACAGCTACCAGATTATATCAGGATACTTTTCCATGAATTATTTTTAATTAATTTATAAATAATTTGTCACTAGAGGAAGGCATTAGGCATCATCTCTTATTAAATTTAATAATTATAATTAAATTAAATAATTTAGAATAATCTGGAAAAAAGGAAGTGGCCTGAAGTGGGAATCGAACCTGCAATTCCCACTTACCTTGTGAACGCATTGCCAGTTATACTAAATAATTGTGGAAAGTAGTCTGATGTAATCCAGTAGTTGTTTGGCTTATTACTAATATATTGAGTGTCGAAATGTTTGTATATGTCTTATATTCAAGATGTTTGTATAAGTATATATATTAACTCTGGCATGATATATATATCCAGGGTTGAGTGATGGCCAGCTGAATGCCATAAGTGAGTGATTATAGGATGAGGACACTGAAGGTGTCCTCAATCAGCACTGTAACTAAGGATGGTTATATTATAATTAAACATATCTGTATGAGATCAGTCTGGAGGCTGGGGTAGTGTAACTAGCAAAGCATCTGCACAGTAAACAGGAGTTGTGGGTTTGAGTCCCACTCTGGGTCGATTCTTTTCTTCCAGATTATTCTAAATTATTTAATTTAATTATTATTATTAAATTTAATAAGAGAAGACACCAAACACCTCCTTCTAGTGACAAAGTATTTATAAATTAATTAAAAATAATTGTGAAAAAAGTAGCTTGATGAAATCCAGTAGTTGTTTGACTTATTACTAATATACAGTGGTACCTCAGGATACGAATGCCCCAGCATACGAAATTTTCAAGATACGACATGAAATTCGAACATATTTTTGCTCCATGATACAAACAAAAACTCACTATATGACGTTACATTAGTTTGCAGTGCCATTTTTTATTCACTTCTGTTCATTGGTCTCGGTCCGCATGTTTGCTTTGTCGTGGAAGGATCTCGCTCGATAAAGGAAATCTTGAAGTATTATTAGAAAGTGACTGATTTTATTGAAAAGAAACATCCCTAAAAAGGTTTACACTAGCTGTATTGCTGCTCAGAGTAATGACATTTGCCTAAGTCATTTTAGAAACATTTTAAAAAGTAGGCAAAGCAAAACCTCTTTGGATAGATATTTTACCAAGTGACCTCTATCCAGTGAAAGTGCTGGTGGAAGTAAAGGAAAGAAAGCAAAAAGCAGTGAATAAAAATTTAAAAAAAAAAAATATATATATATATATATTTATTTCTAAAATATATGACTTCTAAGTGACTTCTAAAAAATATATATATATAAAACAATACTAATTTTTTATCTTTTCTAAGTTATTTTTAAGTTAACTTACATAACATAATATAACAATAAGTTTTAGTATCACTTCCCTTCTCCCTCTCTTCCGCCACCAGTTTACACCTCCAATGTCGTCTATCCTCAAAGGTAAAGTGCAAATAAAACTACATTTTTTTAAACAATTATTATTCTATTTTGTTTATTTATACATTTACAACTACAAAATGCATTTTTCAGTGTTTTCCTTACTATAGTTATTTTTTTTATGTACTACTTAGCTTTAATTTGAGTGTGTTTTTTGTGTTGGAACAAATTATTTGGTTTTACATGTAATCGTATGGGG